AATGTGGTTAGAACGCACCCATGGCGCGCATGTCACACAAAAGTGAAATCACCCGCGAACCTTTTTGGCACAACTCGGGCCCGAGCTCGAAGGTCGATCGCAATGTTCAGACTGCATATCTAAAGAGGAAATTATGTCTTAAGGCACGAAATCTTGAAGCTCGAAACACCGCACATTCATGCTCAGTTGAACAGTGCGGTCATTGCAAAGGCCTACGAAATTCTGGCAATTGCTCGGCGTCCTCGAAAGCAACTTCCTGTGGAATTGGTCCTAGAAGTGCATTGATCTTATCGGCTTCTTTCTGTTTCTGCCTACGAAGTCGTTGTGTTTTGCGCGCTGAAACGAAATCGGCTTGGAATCTGACGCACCAAGTCCGTTTTTCTAAAAATAACTGGATCACTTTGTATGCTTCATTTGCTATCTTGGTTAGTGCGTCAGCAAGATTTAAATCGGATGGCGCCCACGTGGCATAACATCGAGTGTTGGGACGTGTCCCTCGCTGGATGGCCATTGCTTCTGTTCCGGTTCTTGCGGATGACATTCCGCAAAATGCTGTCTCCGAAAGGGTCACTGCGTCATACAGCCCACGGCTGTCAGTGATCAACAAGGATTCGATGCATGCCGCGGCTGCTTCTTGCTCACCTCTAAAAAGAAAAGGATCGTACATCAATTTCCAAATTATGCGACATTTGAAACCACGATCTTCTGCCTCGTAGAGGGCTTGCGATTCACATCCGTTGCTTCCTTTTGTTGGACGTTCCAGTCGCCACGAACGCCAATCGATCAAACTCATGCTGGTCTCTTGACCGTTCATGATCTCTGGAGCAGCTAGTCCGGTGATATACCCGCCGGTTGAGCTTCCATCTACTCTGTTGTGTTGCGCTGCGTCACCGAAGTGCAGCATAACAATGTCTCTCCAGGTGATCTTTTCTGTTCGGTTGCAGTTGAATGTTGGAAATTCTAAACCAACTGTGGCAGATCGCTTCATATCTTTCAGAATTCTGTTCGTTTCTCTAAGGTCCGCGACTGTAGCCTTGTTGGCCTTCGAAGCAGTGATATTAACCCGAGCCGAATATTGTGGTGATGTTTGCACGGCCCTCCATGAGGCCTTCATGATTGCCCCACGAAACTGAGACACTTCTTGGGGGCTCAATGGATCGCTATCACTACGACTCTTGTCCTGTTCGATATTGACAGGCGTCAAAGCATTTGAAAATTCTGTTTGCGTCACTGAAATCGAAAAATTCTTTCTCTGTTGAATTTCACATCCAGCAAAAGTGAAACTTCCCGTTTGCCAGGGACTCCAGGAATACATCTTCGAGATGCTCTGGCGAATGGCTTGCCATTCGATGTCTGTGTCAGGGCCACATATCAGAAAATCATCAACGTGTGCTCCAACTCTTCCCAGAACCCGAGAACCGTCTGCACTCATGAAAACCCACAAGCAACGCTCACATGGATGGGTCACGCCGCCTCGGCGTCTCATTTTGTCATCAGCATCTAGCCAAAACAATCTAGGAGCGATTGTAAGACCGTAAAAAGCACCTACGATTTGGATTGCCGTTCCTGGAACCACACCCAATGCATGAGCCACTTCGTCAACCGCTTGAGTGTATAAGGTTCACCTTCAAGCTTTCTTTCTGATTGCAAAAAGGCAGATTTAGCATCGGCGCTCTCTACAGTATGTTGGTCCAGCGCTGCTGACTGCAACAAAAGATTCCTGGCAGTTCTTGTCAAGGTAGGCGCTGCTGTTGCTAGTTTCCTTTGTCCTGTATGAGGATCTCGTGCTGCTAAATCTGGGTGTTTGTATCCCAAAAGAACCAAACGTGCTTTAGCTTTATATTGGCCTGACTCCTCAATCACCTCTAGTTTCTTTTTGTTTGGTTTGGATGGTGTAGTCGTTACTGAAGTTGTACTTGGTGATGAGGTCGAAGTGGAAATTGATGTTGCTGCTGGTCGTTCGATTGCTGCTGCGCCGGGAATGAACTTCCAGGTCAGTACCCATCTCATGGGAATCATTCGATTCCGAAGATCTTCATCGGAGATGTGTTCTTGCGCTGCTCTCAAGGCTTGTGAACGTAACACTTCAGAAATTTCCCTGGCCATGGCTTCTTCAAACAACTTTTTGTGTTCTGGCGTCAGCTGTCTGAAAATCACTTCTTTGCCAGGTCCTTGCAAAAGAGTTTTGGTGTAAACAAAGCCCTGCTGCAGTAGGAGGTCTAACCTGTCAATGTCCACAGAAATTTCACACACTTCTTCCCGAGTCTCACAAGCTTCACGGAGGAGGTGTAGAAGATGTTGCTCTTCTCGACGTTCAAAATGAAGCATTTCACGAAGTTGTTCCAGTTCAGACATTTGTTTTGCCGTCTGTTCCAGCTCTTCGATTTTCATCATAATCTGTTGGTATGCTTCTTCGTTTGTCTGCACATCGTTCTCCTCCAGTGAAAAATGTTCGACTCGCTGTCTTTTGTCCACGTGCTTTTCTCCCAAGGCATCTTCTGCTTCTGGTAGTTCCATCATAGGGGGTAGACCTTCTCGTCTACGATTCTCATTGATGCTGATCAGTTGTTGCCATCGACGAACTTGTTTTTCAACTTCTTTGGCTTCTGGTTGTCTTTTGTCTCGGCTTCTGGATCTTGACCGGCCACGTTCATGTCGTTCTTGAACGCGTCTGGTCCATTCATCTGACATTTGCTGAACACCTCGAAACCATTGATCTGCAGGTTGAGCTCGAGCCATGTCTTCTTCCGGGAGTGGTGCTCCTTCGAGGTCCGGTTGATCGGGCAAAATTGCCTGATCCCAGTCAAAAGTTCCTTCTTTTGTGACATCTGTGACCCTGGTCAGCTGTTTCAAAGTGTCCATCACCGGTCTTGTCAACTTCGTTCCTTTGTTTAACAATTCCAGGTTCACTTCACTCTCGCTGGCCATTCTCAACTGATCTGGCGAGCATCTCCACACTTGGGTAGCCATCACAACCCAAACAACAGATCCACGTCCGCCTGGTAGAACTGATGGTTCTGTAAAAATGACACGACCAGGTCCCACAAATCGTGCTTCTGGGTTGTAAGATTCTGCAGCTCTATCTTTGTCTTTCTTACGCATCTTCCAGGTTGTCTTTCGCCAAACACAGACCCAATCTCCAGGTTGAAAATCTCGAACCGGTCTAGAGATCGTATTTGTGACTTTGGTCCATGTTGTCTTGGCGTGCTCTTGCTTCCAAAGTTCAGCTGCTCGTTCTCTGTTTTGTTGTAGTTCCCAAAAAGCATTCGGTTGTGTTCCCAGTTGAATGTTCACTTCCAGAGGATCTTGCACTGTGTCATCCCTATCTGGTGCAAAACCAAAAGCCCATTGAACTGGACTGAACCCATGTAGCATGTAGTTGTTATTATGCGCTGCAGCTGCTATGGATCCCAGTAGCTCCGGTGGCACATTTGAATATTCAAAACGAAAGCGCTTCATGAGGGCCTTTACTGTTTTAACTGCTGATTCTGTGCCTCCATGCATATAGTGTGCTTCCCCAGGAACTGCTGTGATTCCAAAACCCATGAACTGTGCAAATTGAACGAACTCCCCTTTGGCCAATGATGTTTGGGCGTCAACCACGACCCAAAGAGGTTTTGGTTTGTGCATGAGCCAGCCATTGGTAAAAGCATCGATCAGGCTACGACCGCTATCCGTGCCTGTTTGGCTCAATGAAGTCTCTTGCAGGAGAACAACGGACATGAGCCGCATCGCCAAACAAACACACAGCAAATATCGTCCTTTGCACTTTTGTTGCGGAAAAGGAATCTCAAAAACATCCAACCCCACCATGTGCCAAGGCTGTGGCTTGGTTCCTAAGGAAACATTTGGAATCTTCTGTTCACCCTTTTGAACAGAGATGCACGCATCACACTGCAGATCTTTTGCTAGTTGTACCACCCAGTCTGGAAAGCGTTTGTCTCGGCACAATCGAGCCAGCGCTGTGTTGCTGGGATGTCCGCTGGCACGGTGAACTTTTGTCAAAAGCTTTCTCGCCATTTCCACGGTCTCCTTTTTCACATGCGACAAGGAATTGTCGCTGTCTTCTGCTACAAGGTCTTCAGCTGCAAATTGTTCCAACTGGAACAATGGTTTCATGATATCTTGGTCTTTGAACTGTCTGCAGAAAGAAGCCCATTGTTTCTTCCACTGTCTTGCTATCATATTTGCCATTTCGTCTGGATAGAAAGCAGTTTCAGCCACGGCTCTTGAACCCATGCCTATCATGCCTCCTGGTCGGTGTTGATGGTTACCTGGACAAAAACGTTGACATTCAGCATGAAATTCTGGATCAGTGTTTAGAACTACCCATGACTTCTGTATGGGCAAGTTCTCTGGCGAAAGCATCTCAAAAACACAGCCATCGATCTGAGTCCAAAAGATGCCGTTGGCACTCAAACGTTGCATTTCCTTGGCGAGAAATTTGACTTCTGGTGAATTCCAGCCAGCCATTGCTGATTTAGGCCATTCCCAGTAAATGTGGATGTAGGGGTTGTCGTTGAGCATGTGCAAAATGAGTTGAGTTGCCGTCTTGATTTGTTTTCTCCCTTTCTGTCGCTTCTTTCTGAGGTTCTCCACTTGTGCAGGATTTCGTTGGTTGATATTTTGAATGTTGCTCCATTCTGCACATCTCAAAGAAAACCAAGCCTTTTTCGGCTTCTCTGCGTCATACTCTGAAACGAGGAATTGTGCAGTCCCTGTGTCTTCGAAGTCGTACCCGTTGGCCAAAGTCTTTCTCAAAGCCTTCAGTCTCAGTCTCAAACATGCAGAAGTCAAAGTTGAATTCAAGCTGCAGCAAAGTTCCCATATGTGAAACTCCTCAACAGCTTCGGCCATGAACTCCATCAAGGATTCCACAGCGAAAAAGTCCGCAGCCTTTGACAGCTGCGATCGTAGTGCAGTGCCCTGCTCTGCGGTCAGGGGCACTTCGGCCGAGTCCATTCCTTCGGCCGCATGGATGTCGCTCCCAACTGGAGCGCTCACTCCTCCTGGCGCCGCTCCTTGCGGCTCCGATCTCCACGCTGCTTGCTCTTCTTGACGCTCTTCGTGTCGTTCTCCACCATCTCGAAGTGACTCTCTACGGTTTGGTTGCTGGCCCAGCTGCTGCTCCGATTGCTGCTGCCGGAACCGATGTTGTGCACCTCCGTGGTCACTGAGCGTCCCCGCTTGGTCTCCGGTGTCTGGAGTTCGGTCTGGTCCTGTGGCGGAGTCTCCACAGGCGGGGATGCCTCCTTGCTCTTGTATCCCGCCGATGGAGTCTTGCCTGACGTCTTCACCTTTGGTGGATTCAACACAGCTTTCTCCTTGGCCACAATGTCGATCATGGACTTGACCTGTCGACCATCGATGCTGCTCTTGGACCATCCGGCTGAACGAAGACGAGTGAGGGCTTCCGTAACATTCATTGGAAGATGGGTGCGAGTGCTCTCTGCTGGTGAACGAACCTCCGGCTCGTACATCATCCTCAAAGCGCACTTTTCGCACTCCTTCCATCGGCCGTAGCGGTTGCCTCCAGTCTTCTCGGTGTGATTTCCATAGCATGGCCATTGAATCACCTGAACTCGAGGGTTGCGACTGTCGATTCCTTGGCGACGAGTGGAATCGTACTGGGTCACCGTCTTGCCCTTCTTGCTGCGTGCGGTTTCCTTCTTGTCCTTCTGCTGCTGATCCATGGCTGCCATGGCTTCCTTGACTGCCTCTTGGATCAGACTCTTGAGCTCTGAGCTTTGGTCTGCCGCCGTAGCTCCCGTACTGCTCGAAGACATGACGAACAGGTCGAGATGAGGAAGTCTGAAACGGCAAGGCACTGTTAGAACTTGAGCTGGAAAGGTGCATCCATTGTTCTTGTGTGATGCCAAGATGTTCGGTCTGACTGGTGTTTGCATCCACTGTGTCATGTACGTGCAACAAAGTGTCGTCCGAACCTATCAACTCACAGTCTTCGAAATCA